ACTCCTTCGAGTACGTCATGTGCTGCGTCGCACCCGAGTCGACCAGCCACTTGTCACTTGACTTAGTGGTCTTGCTCCCACCACCAGCCAAAATGAGAAACTCGCCCGATTCTTCTTCATCGCGCGCGACGTTTGCTCGTTGCGGCCTCTGTCGCTCCGCATTTTCACGAATCCTCACCGGACACTTGGCGATCCAATGGCCTTGTTCGCCGCAGTAGTGACACGCGCTTGTCTTTGGCGCCTGTCGTCCCTTACGCTTACCGTTGTCACTCGTCATGAACGCTTGACCGTGCGCGACGCCGTCCGCACCGCCGCCTTGCTCTTTGCGCTTCATGTCCTCATGCAGCAGCCGAGCCGTCACTAGTTCCCACGACAGTGAGTCAGCTCTCGACTCCAACGCCGTGATGAGGAACTGGTACGACTCGCTTAGACTTGCCAGAAGCGTGATCACCAAGTTGTGGTGTAGCGGGATCAGCAAAATCTGCGAGATTGCCAGATCCAACTTACCAACTGCGCCCAGACACCGACTAACGGAGGGGGTCCCCCGATGATCCGTGTTCTGCTGAACTTTCCTCACCTTGTGTACCCGTCGGTAGGGCGGGATCTGCTCTCTCGGTAACTTCCGAAGAGTTCAAGTGGTGAAGCTTGAGTGTCTTGGCGAGACGTGGGGATGGGGTGGAGCAGCAGTGGAAAATCTTCACTCTGCGTCCGTGGATGGTTCCGTATCCTAAGCGAATATTCGAGCTTATGGATCCGGGGCCTAGATCGTGGATCTAGCCGTAGGGTTGCCTTGCGGGTGTGTTCCCTTGCCTTTGTGTTGTCCTTTAAGTCGTACTTGCCGCCTCCTGTGACGGGATCTTGAGAGTTGAGAACCTCTAGGGTGTAACCGACCAAGTAGTAAATTCGGTTAACCTGTCGGATCTGCACGTGTATAGAAAAAGCTCACTAGGTTGTAGGATCTGGCCAATGTATTATCCAGTTATCACTACCAACACTAGATTCGCAATTCCTAACCTTCACGGAGCTCGTACGGCCAATGTAGTTCCGTTCTGAGGGCGGGAAGGCACTTGGGTGTTACTGTGCAAATTGAGGTCGCGTATTGATATTTAAGCCTATACCTGGCTGGGGTTTCTACCTTTCTAGTTCTTTACTTCTGCTAATTTCCTTAACCAGGGTTGGGGGGGCGCGGTTCCTCTTTTTTCCTCTGACCACATTCATCCCAGCTGTGTTATCTTCAGATCCACCGGATATATGACGTAATCATCATGGTCACCCTATTATGGGTACACTCATCCGGATCCAGGTCGCTTGGATCCACCTCACTGTAATGGTACACTCGCCGTGGATCCGAGCTCTCCAATCATCCAACATCATCTCGCAACCGTCTGTGATCTCCGTTGTCCCACGAAAGTTCGAGATCCACTGTATCCCTCATCCCTATACCCTGGATCCAGGTCCCTCCAGGCGGGATCCTCCCTCCTTGGATACGAACTCAGGAGTATGGGATCCGGGGTACCTCGCGGGGAAACTCCGCGGGGAAAACTGAAATCCTCCTTTAACGCGGGGTTAAAAAAAACCTCGCCCCCAGAGGGGAAAGAAAATACCTTTTTTTTATAAAGAAAACAAAATTGCAAATCATTTTGTGGAAGAGAAAAATACCTCCAAATCCCTTCTCTAAGGAAAACCCGATAAGAGGGGGGAAACTCGAGTGAGATCTGGTGGGATCTGCTCTCCCTACACTCTCATATCAGATCCATCGTCATTCCATACGGTGCTGCTCGCCATGGCTAATCCACCACAGGCAACTTGCACCCGTGCCAAACAACCCAAATCCTCTATAATCACTTGAAATTGTCACTGATTCGGGATAGTGACCCCGCGTCAGGACCATTCTCTTATTTCTGAGAAAGCACTTCACCACAATCGCCTCCTGTACGTGGTCGGCGCTGCACAACAGCGTCCACGACGTGCATCACCAGCATCCACAACCGCTTTCTCTCCTTCGCGAAACATGTCTCTCGGCCAAGCGTACCGGCAAATCGTCGGGCAAGGTCCCATCCACCACACCTCCGGGCCAGTTCGTTCTTCCATGTCGCCCCACGGCATCTGCGGTTTTCTAACCCAGAGTCTCTTTCGCATACAGTGCCAACCTGAAGCGCGGAGCTCCAGACGCGCTCAGATGCCCAAGACCAAGCTGCGTCTCTACACACTACCCAACTTCAGACCTTGCGGGCCCAAATCCATGACAAGCGATGGAGATCCAGGGGTGGGAGCACCGTGCGGCCTCTCGGTCGCAGGACCTGCGACTCCTGTTGGCTGATCAGGCGGTCGAGATCCGCGACCTGACCGGACGGCTGGATCGCGCCTCCCGTCAACGAGACGTTATGCGAGATGACAACGACCATCTCCTTAGGGAGATGGCACTCGCCGGGATCTGAGATCCACCAACTCCAATCACGGATCCACGACCTCGAGCGGGATCTGGAGGATTCCCAGACTGCTAGGGCAGCTGCGGATGTGAGCTTGGACCGCCTCCGTGACGAGTTGCGTTTGACCCAGGAGGAGGTGGTGACCAACGACTATGTGGGATCCGCCTCGCAATTAGTCGCACTTCAGTGACTTCTCAAAGATTTGGTAATATATGTCGAAGATGGAGTATTTGACAACCGAATCTAAGGAAAAAGACCGGGTTTGAGCAGGTCTCATCGGAGCAGTAGTACTGTACCTCCGCTCGGAAAATTAATCACATTTAAAAAAAAAGATTTCGCAGCGCTCTGCCTCGTTCTTTTTCATGATTATAAAGTTTGCGGAGGGCTGCTGATCCTTATGTAAAACAGGTGCATGCCCAGTGGGAACCGTGCTGCCACCTTAGCTGTGCCAAGCAAGACTGCATTCGAGGAGCTTTGAC